CTGAATAAACGCCGCTAGGAAATATTTTACTATTTGTAACATGAAAATTGATTGAACTAGCAACTAAATCCAAAGTACCACCACAGACATGTGTCGGCTTGTTTATGAAGTTTATCAAGTGGAACTGTTCAAAAATTTCTAGCAAACTAACAGCATGACGATCATTCAATTTTTTGACATGAATGTTGAAATCGCCAGTCAACAAAATATTTGAACTTAAAACTGTAATGATCTCCAAAACAAGCAAAATTTTATCAAAAAACAAGGCATTTACTTGAACAGAGCCTGGTCGGTATAACGCCAATAAAATAAAATCTTTGTTATTTATAAACAATTTAAGAGTGTTGAACCGCACATCCCTAATTTAAGCATGTGACGACATTTATGGACGCCAAATGCTACAAATCAGACAAGCAACTTAAAAAAGCGATACGTTGACTAGGAGGTTGAACAGTGTAGAATTACTTGTGAAGTAGACACAAGTACATTAGAGACAATCATTAGTAAAAAAGATTGGATAAAAATTGGTTCACCCACCTTACAATCAGCTAAGAAACAGTTCAAATCATATAGTGGACATAAACTTCCAATATAATCGAATGTGGCAAAAGAACTGTAGTAGTCGAAGGAAAGAAATTTAGCAATCAATTGTATTATGTTGTTGAAAGAGGCTGTACATTCTTGGTTTGGGTGAGATGGATCAAGACCATGCGCATAGATTTTTTTTCAGTGTTGGGAAGGAAAAACCAATAGAAACAAAGTAAACATGAATTCAGCGAAGATGGATTAATCCGTCAATGAAGCTGATAAAGATTTGAAGAAACTGCTACAAAAATACACAGATATTTTTAACGAGACATAAGGTTGCATCAAAGGTATTAAAGCCTTTCGGTATTCACGCTCAAGAAAATACCATTTAAGAAATTTTTGCAACCCAAACCAGTTCTATTTGCTATTGAAAAGAAAGTCGACCTCAAATTAGAACGAATGGAAAAAATGGGAATCATTGAGCGTGTACCTAGAGACATCAGCGAATATGCATCACCTATTGTTATCGTGGCAAAAAGAGGAACAGAAGCATAACACATGCTCTGAATGCATGCACTCGGTGAGAACGATATAACCGTATGTGGAAATTGGAACGTGTGGCTACATTAGAAATTCAAATGACTGTGTGACGTAACGTTAGTTAAAATATTTTCTTCTATTAACGATACCCAAAATACTTTTTCCTTGACAAAAAAAGGCATAGAGACACGATGGCCATAGACTGCCTCAAACCTGCACACACATCGGCATCATCAATACCGTCACCGATGCCAACGACCACAGCGCCGACGTCACTTTCTACAACACTTTCAGCAAAATCAACTCCGTCGTCGAATGACACATCAGCATCAACAAAAACGTCAACACTACTTCCAACAGCGTACGAGGACACGCCAGCAACAAAAACATCTACGTCGACTCAAGCACACCCAAATCGACCCATCACACCAACATTCCACCACCTCAGAGAACCACAAGATTAGGAAGAACAGTTCATCTCACATTTCGATATCTTGATAAGAATCGATCAACAGCTTACGCTGACGATCTGGTGGGGGAGTATTGTTAAACCGCACATCCCTAATTTAAGCATGTGACGACTTGCTATATATAGCTTAAAAACAAAGGCAACGGCCCTTCTTCTCGCGACGTTTTACGATCGAACTTCTCTTTGTCTAATTGTATTGCCGAACACGTTTTCGTTTATTTTGTATTACGCAAATATTCATATAAACAATCTTAATTGTTGTTTCTTATATCGAGAGAAATCTCGCAACAAGAGCAACAGCCTTAAAAGTAACCAAAACAGGTAATTCAATTACTTTATATCTGAAACTTGACCTAAATATAACAATTATTCCTCCATGAAATGGATCATTTAATCTAAGAAAATCAACGTTACGATATCCCGGTGGTGTTGATGATTGTACAGAAATATTATCTGATAACCCAAGCCATGTCTCAACCAGCACAAAAATGTCTAAGGCATCATGGATTAACATTAATTCATATACGACATCAGCCTTCGAGATAATTGATCTTATGTTTAAATAACCAAGCAAAACATTGTTCATATTTGTTGTTACATTATTTGTTTTAACCATTGAATTTATTTTTACCGAAATTATTAATTATGTGATTTTTTTTCTGAAACTCGATTTTTGGTAAAATAGTTAGAAACTACGCTTCTGTTGTTTACATAGAATAATATTGAAAACTTTAAATTTGGCTCCGCCCTTCATTAATATTCATGACCAACCAAAGCGCTTCATTTTATTGTAATAAATTATTAAACAAATAATTAAAAAAATATATCTTAAAATGTTTATTAATAATTTTGATGCCAAATAAAATAAGGCCACATATTAAAACTTAGATTAAAAAAAATAAAATATGGATTATCTCTTACATGAAAGAGCTTTAATATAGAAACGAAATTATTTTTTGTTTTTCCTTTTGCTATTTCCTCTTTCCTTGTTCAATTGCATTTATTTATATTTTTCATTAATAAAAATTTATCGGTTGGCCCCGGACACATCGTTCAGATAAATGAAAGCTGCATCTCATCTGCAAAAAGATCGAGGAACCGAAATTCACGTCCAGTTAAGACACGCTGGGTTTTTGGAGGCATCGATACGTAAACAAAAGATGCCTTTCTGGTGGAAGTAGATGCTGCCACGCAGTTGCCATTGATACAGCGACATGTTCTGCGCGGTTGGTTCCATAAAGTTTAATATTTTAAAAACCATTTTTGTTGGTTATGAAATAAAGTTCGATTTAAATAATTTTAGGTACAGCAGTTTAGACGGATCAATGGGCTGCTTATAACAATATAACAGCCGTAACTAGTCTAGCCCACCAAACCGTAAATCACTCCATTACATTTCGGGCCGTAAACGGATTGCACACAAATGGAGTGGAGAATTTGTGGCGATGCGCCAAACAAAAATTTAAAATAATGATTGTACGTGCGATGCTCACGTATGCGCGCCATAGGAGATAGAAAAAAGCGGTTCCAAAAGCCTTTGAACTTATACGACATTATTACGCGGTTTAAAATTTTGAAATTTTTTGTATTTTTTTATTAACTAATGATAATTATTAGAAGATACTTCTGTTTTCTTTTTAATATGAAAATATAATGTGCAAATAAAATTACAAATAGTTCTCATGTTTATAACATATTTTAAAAATAATAAATAATGATTCTAGAATTTCATTAAAAATTACAAATGTATACAATACAAATTGAAAAAATAAAGCGCTTCGGTCGGTCATGAATATTAATGAGGGGCGGAGCCAAATTTAAAGTTTTCAGAAGCGTGGTTTCATACTATTTTACCCGATTATTTTCCAATTCCCAACCGGCCCCTTCACTTTGTACAAAAAACCCCGTTCATCCGTTGATTGCTTTGTTTTTACTATTTTACCAGTTTCAGTCACCAGCGTTTTATACTCCTACCTTTGTTCTTTTGTCAAATCGTGACTCAGTCCTACACGGGATAACTCATCAGGTAGCGTCTTCATTTTACAAACATTTTTCAATATTGAATTTTTAACATTTACATTTTCTAATTTTATTAGCACTGGTCTGATTGTACTATTATCTTTTTTACCGAGTCTAGTTATTTTAAGCACATCCTTGTCAGCAATATCCTCTGTCAAATGTTTCAATATTTTCATCACATCAGCATTGTCTCTACCACCCTCTGTCAAACGAAGCATTACCAAATTCAACTTTTTATCTTCAACTTATTAACGTCAATTAATACTTTCTTCATTGTATTCATTTCATCATTTATCATTTCAACATTTCTATTTACCTCCATGCTAACAATTCCAGCAAATGTAGTTAATTCATTTTTTAAAATTATGACGTTCAAGACGAATTAACGTGTCTGAAAGATCAGTATCAGCCAATTTATTTTCGTTTGACTTTATCAACGCCTTTATATTTTCTATATCTGTTTTAATCTGAACATTTGCCTGATTTAATTTATCCAACCTTGTTAGCATTTCATTTCTGTCAGTGTCAAACTTAGTTAAAAACTCCTGTTTACTGGTGGCGACTGCCTTTGGGAGTGAACCAATATCAAATAGTAACATTGAACAACCTTCACAATACCATTTTAGGCCAACGACATTTTTCAAAACATCTAGAAGATTATCATTAGCATTAATACATTTTAAGTAAGCAACCGCTTCACAATGAAAACAATGCATAATATCTCTTACTTTAGCGATACCAGCTTCTGTACACTTAAAACACTAGCGAAGCATGTTTAGTCCGAATACAAATATAGCACAACTAAATTAACAGTATAGTTCGTATGCAACAGAATCACGTGATTTAAGTATTTTCACAATTTTATCAAAATTTCTTTAAAACTCAACAAAATTAGAAACAAATTTATATAACAATTTAAACTCTGAATTTTTATATGACAAATAAGCCTATTTACAAACAAATTAACACCAAATTTAATTATTTCGAACGAGAATTATTACGAGCAAAAATTTGCCAACCATTCCACAATAATGTAACGAGAATATATATATATATATAGTCTAACTTTATTAGATGAATTTATAAATATCGCTGCCAAATAATTATAAAATAAAAAATAATTAAAATATCAAGCGTTAATTATAATAGAGACCATAGTTTTTTCCATATTGAAAATTAACGTAAAAAAACTATTTTTAATTGCAATATACTATATCTATCACAGTTTACACAAATTAATTACTTTGTTGAAACAAATGATTTTTCACGTTTTGTGGCTGCACTAAATTGTTGCCATTGTTTTTTTCATCTGGCATGTTCTCCAATTTCATATAAGTTGAGGATTCACCTACTTTTTTTTCAGCTTTTTCAACACCTCTCCTAACAAGACCCTGTCAAATTATCGATAAGAAATATAAATGAAATTAGTTAATAATATATTATTTTATTCTTTAATTTTGCTTTGTGTTAATAAAATTTTGATGTTAATATTAAAACTAACTTCTTTTTCTTCCTTTTTTGAGGGATTCCTTAAGAGTATCATCAGAGGAGAATACAGCATGTTAACAATAGCTGTCACCCACATTAACCTACAAATATTTAAAAAAATTAGTTTTAAACTATTATAGCAGAAAATAAAAAAAACCATTTAAATCCGATGGCTTGTATTATCGAACCGCTTATTGCCGGACCTTGACAATTTGAAATAAGTATGTTCAATTATTGGATTCAACAATGTTATAATACAATAGGAACACTACCAATTGCAAATCCTAGACAAAAAGCTACATCTGCAATAGCATAGACACTTCCATAAACGGAAACATGTCTCAGATCAACCAGATGTCCCATGATCGGCATCATGGCCGAGTCTACCATACCTGCATTATTCAAAATAACAATCAAAATTATTAGTTATCGAAACGTGCACCAACTCTCAATTTACGTAATATTTTAGTATGAGAATTAAACTCTAATACTTGAGCTTAACATTAATCAATCAATCGATCCTTCGATCACGATCAATCAATCAAACAATCAATCAATCAAACAACCAATATCAATTAATCAATATCAATTAATTAATCAATAAATCGATAGATCATTTGATTGAACAAACAATTAAGAAATGACTAGTGATAATTTAAATTATTACCAAGATAATAAAAATCGTTAGAAAAATAAAGAGCATGAGAGTCAAACTTATGAAGATTTGGTTTAAAATATATAAAATAAAAAACAGAAACATGTCTCAGATTAACCAGATGTCCCATGATCGGCATCATGGCCGAGTCTATCATACCTACATTATTCAAAATAACAATCAACCCTCAATATCCGTAATATTTTAGTATGAGAATTAAACTATAATACTTGAGCTTAACATTAACCAATCAATCGATCGATCGATCGATCACGATCAATCAATCAATCAATCAATCAATCAATCAATCAATCAATCAATCAATCAATCAATCAATCAATCAATCAATCAATCAATCAATCCATTAATCAACCAATCAACCAATATCAATCAATTAATCAATATCAATCAATCGATTGATCATTTGATTGAACAAACAATTAGGAAGTGGCAAGTGATAATTTAAATTATTACCAAGACAACAAAAATTGTTAGAAAAATCAAGAGCATGAGAATTAAACTTATTAAGATTTGGTTTAAAATAAATTGAAATACTTCGAGCAATGATAGAAAAAAGACATAAACAGAAATTAGGAAGACTACATCTAAATTAGATTGGGGTGGTTCAGTCAGACGTATAAAGTATAAATAGAAAAAGGCCAAGGATTTAAAATCAAAGTACTCTAAAAGAATAAATGAAATAGGCGTTGATTTTTTAGAATAACAAAAAAATACGAGAAATAAAAAAAAAAGGATAGAAAAAAATAAGTGACATTCAATGAGTTATCTCGCAGTTTCAATGATATTAAATTTATATCATATATCATATAAAGTTATATTATTATATTATACTATATTATATTATTATATTATACTCACATAATCATACTCACAGTACTGAAACTTCTTTACTTAAAATACACAATGATATCCTTCTCTCTAGTGACAATAGTAATTTTACTCTTCTTCTTGCTCTTGACTTTTCCTCAGCTTTTGATACTGTTGACCATACTATTCTCTTGAGACTGCTGCATCTTTCTTTTAATATTACTGATTCTTGTCTATCTTGGTTTTCTTTTTATTTCTGTAATCGTTTTTCTTCTGTTGTTCTCAATAATTCTACTTCTAACTCCTCTACTCTTACTTTCGGGGTACCTCAGGGTTCTATCCTTGGCCCTTTTCTATTTATACTCTATACTTCTGAACTACCTCGTATTATTAATAACTTTTCTTTCTCTAGTCAACTATATGCTGATGGTTCTTACATTTATACTTCTTTTCCTCCATCTAATCTCAATAGTGTTCTTCATAATTTATCTCTATGCCTTTCTTCAATTATCGCTTGGTTTGACTCTATGTGTCTTAAACTTAATCCTTCTAAGTTTGAATTAATTTGTTTTAATAAATCTAAACACTATTACTATTCTTCCTATTATCTTACCTGATTCTAAAACTCTTGATGTCTCTCATAAGTTTCGTAGTCTAGGTTTTATCTTTGATTCTACTATGTCTCTCTCTTCTCAGATTAATCGTGTTGCTAGAACCTCTTACTTTCATCTACGTAGAATAAAAAACTTTTGCCTTTTCTTGATGATCCTACTCTTCTCCTTCTTGTTACTTCCTTAGTCTTATCTAGGATTGATTATTGTAACTCGCTCTACTATGGTCTTCCTGACTCTATACTCTATCCTTTAAGTAAAGCTTTTAACTCTGCTGCTCGTCTAGTTGCTCGTGCCCCTTTCTTTTCTCATATATCTCCATATCTTGTTCTCTTGCACTGGCTACCTAAAAAATATAGAAT